GGGCCCAAACCCTAGGCCCTAAATCCTAGGCCACCCAAACCCTAGGCCCTAAACCCTAGGGCCCAAACCCTAGGGCAAACCCTACAGCACCCTTATTAACCACCCCGAAGCCCCTGAACCTTAGCTCCCAACGCCAAATCTGAACCCCTCTAGCATTGAGTAGGGCTTTGAGTGTTAGAGTTTTGGGTTTAGGGTGTACCATAACCATATCAGAGATAATACGGGGATACTTAAGACTATTGCCTGAGACCCCTAGACTACTAAACCCCATACCGCTTCAACATAAAACCCGAAGCCCTAAATCCTAAGCCCTAGGCCCTAAACCCCCAACCCCTAAACCCCTTAAAACAAAAGCCATGCCGAGCTTTCAAACTCCGACTACCGACTCCCAAAGTTCACTGGGAGCCCTTCCATGGATCCTTTTTCAGTGCCCTTACAAGGGCCCTTTGCAGTAGTCCTCAAAGCAGCCCTTGCAGAAACCCCTATAAACCCAGTTTCTAAAGCCCTAAAAACCGATAACCGATTGAACCGAAACTGGATGCATAAGCCCTAAACCCTCAAACCCTAAACCCTAAACCCTAAACCCTAAACCCTAAACCCTAAACCCCTAGCCCTTGAAAGAGGCCCTCAAGGGCCCTAGAACCCTTCAGGGCCCCCTCTAGATAAGGGTTCCCTTTTGGGATTCCTTTCACTGCACGGGTTCCAAAAAGGATTCCTGCAAAAACGCGTTAAGGGTTCCTTTTGGAACCCTATATCCCTAAACCCTTAAACCCTAAACCCCAAACCTTTAGAGGAACCCCTAAACACCAACCCTCATAACCCCTAAACCCTGAACCCCTAGACCCTAAACCCCAAACCCCTAGAACCCCTAAACCCTGCACCCTTATAATTTCTAGGCCTTAAACCCTGAACCCTTCAAGGAACTCCTAAACCCCCCAAACCTTACTTGGAGGGTCGAGGGACTTAGTAACCGGTGATTTTAAGGATTAAAAAGGACCATAACCCCAATTAGGGTCCCTTTCTGAGTACTTATAAGTCTACTTACTACCTACTTACTACGTCCCCCGACCCTCCAAGTAGGCAGAGACTTCGGAATAACGGCCTGGGGAATCCCAGCACTATTTGGCCTTAATCCGGTTTCCAACTTTCTGGATTATTCATAATATAGATATAGTAGGACCTTAATAGTAGCCCTATTATAAACTCTTACTGTATGGGGGGGGGGGGGTACCTAAGGCCTAAAGCCCTCAACCCTTAGAGGAACCCAAAGGTCGTGTAAGTAGGTAGTAAGTAGACTTATAGGTACCCTAAAAGGGACCCTAATTGGGGTTATGGTACTTATAAGTCCTTAAAATCACCAGTTACTAAATCTCCCGACCCTCCAAGTAGAGGAACCCAAAGGTCGCTGTGAGCTGATCGACTCCTTCGGTCCCATGGTCGAGGGCTACACAATGGACCGAAGACTCAACGAGGCAGCAGTTTGGGTTATTGAAGAAGGGTTTACTTAGGGTTATAAGGGTTGCTTAAAGGGTTCCTTAAGGCGAGAAGGGTTTTGGGTTGAGGGGTTTAGGGTTTAAGTTTTAGGGGTTAGGGATTTAGGGGTTTAGGGATTAGTTTTGGTTTAGGGTTTGGGGATTAGTTATGGTTTAGGGTTTAGGGGTTTAGGGCTTTCTTCGAGGGGTATATACCTTCTTACAGGGCAGTGTGGCGTGTAGTTTAGGGGTACTAACGTTTATGACCACCTGGACGCCCCAACGACCCTCTTTCTTTTCCCCAAATACCTACAATTAAGGGCTATTAGGGCTCCATTAAAGGGCCACTTCGGGGGTTTATGACCAGGAGGCAGGCTTTTTGGGTGCTTGGTTTGGGGTTCGGGGCTTCGAGGCCTACACCAAGGCTCGAAGGTTCCCCTGAAGGGATCCTTTAAGGGTTTTTCTCGACCCGCAAGGTAGGTAGAGTAATGGCCTTGTATAGATTTTGGGCCATTTTCTGTTTACTTTTGAGGGTCTCGGAAAACTCGAAGGACTCATATGTTACGGCTTTTGGGCTTAAACATCATATTATGTCAGGCTTTCGGGCCAGTTTGAGCCTCAGGGTTAGCGTTCTGGTCGTTGTTTATGCTGTTCTTTCACATTGTGCAGCCCTACGGTGTAGAGAGCTCTATGACACTCTCGTGAAGCTCATGATTTACCTTGAAACCGTGTAGAACCCATGAAACCCAAAGTCTCTGCATTTGGCTTATAATCAACACCCATGGACCCGGGACGCCTGCATGGAATTCCCCTAAACCCTAAACCCAAAACCCTAAACCCTAAACCCTAAACCCTAAATGAAGCCTTTTGGGCCTACCTCACACCCCAGACCCTTTAAGCCCCTAGCCCAAAACCCCCAAACCATTAAACCCTGAAGCCCAAACCCGTAAACCCTTCTATAGTAACCCATATCGGAATGCGTCTACTAAGGATTCGCCGATCTTGCAAGCTCTGCCGGTTCTCGTCTGAAGACGCGGGAGCTTTGTGAGTGTCGTTTGAAGGAATTAGGGCTTACGGTCACTATATATAGGAGTACTACAACTTTGCTTGTGCGCATCTGACCTTGTGGCTTTCTCTGTGCACCTGTCTCAAAAAGCCTTAATAACCAACTTTGAGCACCTCGACAGTGCTTACCTGGACCCCCAAAAGTATGTAGAATAACAGCCCCTTTGATAGGTTTTGGGCCGTTAATTTACCTACTTTTGAGGGTCTAGGTATGTTCTGGCGAAGGATGGAATGACAAAGTGCGTTTAGCTACAGGAAGTGCCGAACATAGTTGCAGGGAGGCTTAAGGACATGAGCTATTTTGCCTAAGCCGCTTCCACAAGACAACTGAAGAAAATCACTTCTACTAAGCATGGATGCTCGGATAGCAAAGTATTCATAACACCGGGGAATGTGTGTGTGTGTGTCTACAGTCCAGGAGTTGTTCTTGACCCTCCTCCTCACCCTCCCCCCAAACCACTTGAGCACGGATGCTCTTAAACCCTAAACCCTAAACCCTAAACCCTACACCCTAAACCCTACACCCTAAACCCTACACCCTAAACCCTACACCCTAAACCCTACACCCTAAACCCTAAACCGGGTTTAGGGTTTAGGGTTTAGGGTTTAGGGTTTGCGTGTCTGCAGTCCGGGGTCGTTCTTGAAGCACTCCCCATCAGGCCCCCTCCCGCCAAGAGAACATGGACGTCGGCATGGTCAGCAGAATCAGGCGACATGCCGCGGCCAGATACGCATGCACGTGGTATTAGGTAAGGGTTAGTGTACGGAATGTAGGTCGTAGGTTGGAGTTAGGGCTTTTAGGAAATAGGGTTTAGGGTCTCTGGAGCGTTTGCTGTTTATGGTGGTTCGTATTCGACTTTTGATCACCTCAATTCGTTTTTTCTCTGCCTTCCGCCCTGTAAAGACTGTAAAGACTGGGTCGCAACCCAGCTGTTTGACGACAGCGCCACATTTTGGGGCACCGAAGATGCCATGTACAGCGGCGCGTGATATCAGTGCAGTGTGAACTCAGCTCTCACTTGCCAAGTTGTACAGGTGCGCCCAGAGACTCCAAAGCTCGTTGATCAACGTGAATCAAAGAATGTACCTTAAATCATCTTAGGGATCCTACTACAATTTAAGGTATGTTCCTTAATTGACGGATTTTGGAAGATCTGGGCAGGCTGAGGTGGGCCAGGGCGCATGCATAGCGCAGCCTCAGGCTCGAGGAAAAGAAGATTCGCCACCCCCGCCCCCCTCAAACACACGCCATGGAGACCAGCTCATTGATGCGTAAGCCTGTATAGCGAGGCTTATAGTAACCCTTGTAGGCCCCTTGAAGGAATCCTAAGAGGAGCCCATTCTAATCGTCAAGCCTGACTTGTCTCTCGATGTGGCTGCAACCCAATGTTCTAGCTATGCCCTGTGCATCGGCATCTTCCGCGGTTAGTAATACTGCCAATTAGAATGCTGGAAGCACTCGAGAGCCCTTCCGAACATGAGCCCGGAAGGGCGACCCACCACGTCAGACCCCAACTTGGAGCATCATGCGACTAAGTAACCGGTTTTGACTAAGTCACTGGTTTTGAATCCTTACTTGTAACCCCTGTTGGGGTACTTATAACTTATAGCTTTGCCGACTAAGTCCCATGATCCCTCAAGTCTAGCAGAAAGTCGTTCGGGCTGTGCAACATGCGTCAACAGATGAACTGTCGGACTCCGACTGACATGGTGGGGATTGATCATCGGTATATAGTGGCCTCAATAATCAGAATAGGATTTGGGGTGTATTCTACTATAGCTATACAAAGGAACCCTGAGGAGCAATAGTGGGAATTATTTAGGCCCCTGTAATACCGGTTGTAAGCTAGCTGTAAGATGAAGCACTTCAATTCAATCGCATGCAACACGCACAGATAAATCCGTGTAGTTTGAAGCGGATGAGTTTCGCTGTCTTGTAGCATGCTGCTCAATGTATTGCGAAGTGACGGCGTGTGCCGACATGGACTTATTGTAGCGCGAAGCTAAAGCCACATATGTAAGGTAACTAGGTGGGAAATTGGCCAGAGAGCCCCTTTATACACAACTTACAGAACTGTAGAACCCTAGCTATTAGGATCTTGAATATGTGGTTGGTTGTCAAAATTATGGTCCCTTATTGGGTCCTTAATGTAGTACGGCACCTAATACGTTCCAGAGGCCACCAGTTTTGAATCCTCATGTAAGGGAGGAAGGAAGTTCGAAGGGTGACCACAGCACGCGTGACATCTGGGGACGGGATGGGGGCGGTGGGTACGAAGGAACTCAGGAAGGTCGGCATGCGCTTGAGTACGTGACGTCAACACCAAGCTTGCCCCGAGCACCTCCCAGAGAGCTGCCTTTGTGTATGGCTGTGCTCCGGCTGGACCCTAAACCCTAAACCCCTAAACCCCAAGCTGGCATAGTTCCCAAATACCTTTAACGCGAAACGACTGGATCGCTCAGGATCGGAATTCGTCGACATGCTTTGGATCAATCCTTGGCGGAGCCGTGGCCTCAGGGTGTTCCCTAAGAAGGAATCGGAAGCCTTGCACCTACTACTTAGGTTCATTAAAGGGTTCTAGAAGGGATCTATAGGAGCTCAGGGTTTAGGGTTTAGAGACGGATCCCTTGAACTAGGTATCGTGACCCCTTGAAAGGTTCCTTACAGGGCTTCTTGAAGGGTTCCAAAAAGGATTCATGAGGCTTGTGGGTTCTTCTAGATTCCCTGCAAGATGTATCAGATTCAGGGTTTAAAGAGCCCTTCGAGGGATCCTAAAAAGCTTAGTTTAGGATTCAGTGTTTCAGGGAGCCCGAGAAAGGCATGGGGGAGCCAGTGTCAGTACTACAGAAGCCTGGTTAATTGCCAACACTCTTCCTTTTGGTACCTATAATAATAGGCCCCAAAACTCAATTCTAAACTTTAGGGTTCCGATACTACTTGCACGTCGGCTCCGGTACAATATTGCAGTTACGCGAAAGTGCACGGCACGAGAGCCATGAAGAATCTTCAGCCTTAACCAAAAACTGGTCCTAAACTTAAACCAGTACGCATGTACATTCGAAGTCTTGACCCTAAAACTCCAGTCTTTATAGTTTCTAAAGCTAAAATCCTAAAACCCTGAAGCATAAACTTTGAGGGGGCGGAGCGAAAAAGGCATTCAAGAACAAAAATGACTCTAAAATTCTGAGACGGATTAGTTTAGTGTTTAAGCCTCAGTTTGCAGGATTCAGGGTTTAAACAGAAATCAGATTTTAGGTGTGGGGTCCGGGTGTACTGAGAGATGGGGTTGGGATGCATGCTGACCTCGGTGCAATGTCCTAAACCCTAAACCCTAAACCCTAATGGTTCAGAGCCCTTTGGGTTTCACTGGATAAGGGTTACTTTGCATATTCAGAGAGGCCCGTCTAATAGAAAGAATCCAGCGGCTCCTGACATGTCTGACGGCCCGCTTACAACAAAGCAGAAGTCGAGAGAATCGCGAGCCACAGAGTGAGTCAGACGCCCTCTATACCCAAAAGCCCTAAGACCCCTGAACCTCTGAAGCCGTAAACCCTAATCCCCTGAGCCCTATACTTAACCCCCAACTAAACTCCTCAAACCTCAATAGTACCATAATAGATCCCCGTAAGATCCTACAGGAACCTACAGCCCTACGCCCTAAAGCCCTAAACCCTAAGCCACAAACAAGGCAAACCCTATAGACTTTAAGCCCTGATTCCTGAAAGGAACCCCAAACTCCCTAAACCCTAAAGGAACCCTAAAGCCTTTATAGGAAGCCCTGGGCCCTTTAAGCGAGCCTTTCAAGGGCTCCTTTAAAGGAGCCTCTAAACCCCTATAAACCCTAACCCCTATACCCATAAACCCTTAAACAGTACCCTTAACGATCCCTTAAGGGCTATTTTCAAGGACCCTTTTGTGAGTCCATGGCTCAGGCAGCCGAGCCAAGCAGTGACCGCTGCCATGCGCCTCGAGGTGTGCGCTGAGAGTTCAAGGTTTAGGGGTTAGGGTCTACAGTTTATAGAGGCTCCGATGTTGCAGCAACGACTGCAACCGCACGGGTGTGCCGCTAGTAGCTCCCATGATGCAGTAAGCCTTACAGTAGCTTTAATTAATCGTTTTAGTAGCCCTCCTAGCGGTGACCCCGGGGCCCTACACCCTAACCCTTTCAGGAACTCCTGCAGAGTTTGGCGACTCATAGCCCTTGACCTTGCTCCTTGCTTGCAGGAGCTTCCCACAAGTCGACTTGCTCTCTCCCAGGTGGGCGCCAGCGTGGGGTCCACGGTTAGAAGCAGGGGCCCTTTAGGGTACATGCAGGGCATATAGCAGGTATATATGGATCCCTGGGCTAAGGGCACATACTAGGGGCCCGTGGCTTCAACCTCAGATGGGAACACCGCCCCTAACCCTTCTCTTTGGCCCTAAGCCATGTGCTGCGCATTTGCAAGCTCTCTACCAGATTTGTTTGTCTGCGGACGCTTCGACTTACTTCTTGTGGCCATGTCAACCCAAAGCCCCAAACCTGTCAACCCTAAACTCGCCCTAAACCATCCCAAAACCTGCCATCAGCCATGACCCCTAAAAACCGTTGTACCATCCTTAAGCCGGGTTTAGGGTTTAGGGTTTAGGGTTTAGGGGTGTTGTGGCAGGCCTTCGAACCTCTCATGGTGGATGCAGAGACACGGTACCGGAACCAGGCCACCAAACGGTGGGTTGCGCTGGGAGTTGCGGAGAGCCCCCTGATAACCCCCACCCCCAAAAGACCATAATGCGATATGTCTTGAAGAATAAGAATAGGGATTTTGCAAGGATTCTTTTCCGAGTCTGGTTTGGGGTAGCCTATAGTGGACTTATTTAGTGACCACCTGGGAACGTTATCTCGGCCACCAGAAATAACCCCAGAAGCCCTGTACCTTCAGCCCTCCGACCCTACACCAAACCCGAAAGCCTGAAACCGTGAGCCCTTACTTGGAGGGTCGGGGGACTTAGTAACTGGTTATTTTTAGGACTCATAAGTACCATAACCCCAATTAGGGTCCCTTTTAGGGTACTTATAAGTGTACTTACTACCTACTTACTAAGTCCCCCGACCCTCCAAGCAAGTGCCTAAATCCCAAGCTTCACCGCGTGCAAGGGCGGAGTGATCCGGGACGAGTCGCCCTACTACTGCAACTTGGTCGAAGTACATTGCAACAGCATCCGCGTCCCTATCCTGGGTTCTGGAGTACCATGTTTGAAGACTATATTTAGGGTTTAGGGTTTAGGGCTGTTAGACCTGTTTCTTCAAAGAAGCATCGTGAAATGAGTGTTTATGTGTTTTGTTGTCCTTGGTTACTTCCAAGCCTAGGCCTGGCACCACTTATCAATATCATCCCGCTTATGGTCCCTATCTATTTGCAAGATTATATACACCAAAACATTCTACAGATTCTAGGGTATATACTCAAGTATACCCCCAAACCCTAGACCCTGTAGCGAAACCATCAAATACTGCAAACCTTATATATTCCACCTGAAGGCCCCTACATGAGCTTGGGACCCTGTTTTGAAAGTTGTTCTGGTAGGGTTATGCTTTCGGGTCTATAGAGTTCGATGTTGATGAAGGTTAGGTTGCCAGAATATGGGAAGCAGATCATGTGCTACCCATCCCCCTCGTTGAACCACGGCAGCGTAAGATAGACCCTAAATGCTAGGCTCTAAACCCCAGCCCTAAAGCTCCTTCACAAGATCCCCGTCTGAGGCAAGCACTGCTTCCAGCCCATTCAGCGCCAGGCCCGATGGCTGCCAGCTGCTTGTATGTTGTTCCTTGCGTGCTGCTTCGCATGCCAGCGGTAAACGGTAGACACTAATCCCTGAACAGGCTGACAGCAGGGAAAGTGAAGAGGAACTCGGGCCCTTTGCGCAGTCTTGGCTGGATTCGGCCACCACCTCAGCTTTTCTTTCGACGTTCTTGGTCCTTCGGTGTCAGAAGCCTGGTTTCACTCTGTGAGTACAGTCTCGCCGGTATGCAGACAACCCGAAATGCAAACCCCTGAAAACTGAATTTCAGTTTTGGGGTAAGCCCGAAATCTCACCCTAAGCCCCAAAACTTAACCCCCTAAACCCTAAACCCTAAACCCTAAACCCTAAACCCCAAACCCTAAACCCTAAACCCTAAACCCTAAACCCCCTAAACCCCAACCCCGAACCAGGTGCAAGAAGTGCTAGAAGATTCTGCGGCCGACTGCTCAGAAAGTCGGGTGCAGCCGCGATGTCATGAGGTTCAACACGTTTCATAGGAGGCCAAAAGGGGTTTTAGCCTATGGGGGTTTAGTAGGGATTATGGTTCCCATAATAGGGTTCATGTTAAGGAATCCCTACCCCAAGAATCTTAAACCCCCCTATTGGCCTCCCATCAACGTTGCGCATTCCAAAGTCATAGCGACCCTTCAAGGGTAGGGGGGAGGGGGGTAGGGGACCTTAATGCCCATAATACTTAATAAGGCCTATTTGAGGAAGTATAGTCCCCTCCCTCCCTCCCCCTAGGGTCCCTATGACAAAGTTCAACGAGCAAGTTTGATCCAGTGAGAACCCAGCAGAGCGAGAGACTGAAACGAGTATGAACCAGTAGAGTGGTTCTGAGAGGTATGGAGCCGGACAAAAACAAAGGGAGGACGTAATGATGCCGATTGTGCACTTTCTGGCTGGCAATGTGTTGACAGCGCTTGCCAACTGACATGGGACCATTATTCGTTGCAGGAGTGTTTCGAGGAGGGCTACGGGGAAGATGTTAACAGCCGACATACGGACCCTTAACCGAAACCCTATCCCCTAAGCCCTAAACCCTACACCGTACTATATTATACAGCCCTTAAATCCCAGCCTGCTGCAGAACCCTATTGTGGAACCCTTCCGGGAACCTTATTTTGGAAGCCTCAAGTCCATGTATCCAGAGACTCCTAAGCCAATTAATTAAGGAATAGACCCTCACATAGAATAGGATCCCCAGTATGATTTAAGGCATATTAGTCAACTTAGAGTAGGAATTCTCAATATGATTTAAGGCATATTCCTCAATCAAGAATAGGATCCCGAATATGATTTAAGGCACCTTCCTCAACTAAGGGGGTTTGGAGTCTCTGGGTAAGTGCACTTGCAAGCGTGAGCAGGCCCCAGCAAGTCCTGCAGCTAAACCAATTCGGAAAGAGCCGGCAGCCGTCGGGCGGGTACTCGGAGGATCATGAGGCTTAGTAAGTTATAAATAGTATTTATAATAAGTACCTTGATTGGGGGGTCATAATCAGTTGGAATGCAGATACCCTAACAATAACCCGAGTTACTAAGTTCCATGATCCTTCAAGTACGGGCAAGGGGTTTAGGTTTCAGGGTGAAGCTCAATGCACAAAAGCAGCCTGGCACGAAACCCGTAGGACAACCAAGGCTGCAGCAGCACTCGTCCCAGCGGACAGTGGAGTAACATAGGGGCCTGGATAATTACCCGTACTGTTTTGGGGGTTCCTTATTATAGTTGTAGTATAATGGGCCCCAAAACCCTAGTCTAATCATTAAGGCCCAAACATTAACAGAGTACACAGACAAAAGCCTGAAAGTCCCATAGGAACTCTTCTAAGACTCAGTATTAATCACACATCCAGATCCAAGCCTATTGAAATTAGTACGGCCCCCTATATTATTAGTTGTTGCCGGTGCCGAAACCTAAACCCTAAATCCTAACCCCTACACCCTGAACCCTTCGATCCTAAACCCTAAACCCCAAATCCTAACCGTAAACCCCTAACCCCCAAACCCTCACACCCTAAATCCCCAACCCCTAAGCCCTAACTCGAACCCATCAAGGTGGCCGCCCATGAAATTGCCGCGTGGAGTGGCTCTCACGATCCGACCATGTGCGACTGCCAGGGCATGGGCTTCCCTTATGGTAAACCCCATAAAGTTGGAAACCGGATTACCCAGAGCCTCCAAAACCCCTTAATTAAGGAATATACCTTAAAGTATAGTAGGAATATGATTTAAGGTATATTCCTTAATTAAGGGGTTATGGAGGCTCTGGGTAAGGCCACATGGAGCTGGGATTCCCTTCACATATCTTGAGGCTGTTGGGTTTCCAACTTTTGGGCTTCTACTGTATACTACCATTATAGCATAGGAGGCCAAAAGGTGTTTTAGCCTATGGGAGTGTAGTAGGGATTAGGGTCCCCATAATGGTGTTCATATTAAGGAATCCCTACCCCAAGAATCTGAGACACCCCTGTTGGCTTCCCATCAGTATAGTACCAGTATATAGTGAACCCCAGAAAGTTGGAACATGGATTTGTGATTCATGCGGGAATTCCCTATACTTTGCTTTAAGGTCATGAGGCTGCTGATGTTCCAACTTTCTGGCTTCTACCTTAGATCCCTTATAGTAACCCTCAGATAGACCCCTTTGAAGGAACCCAGAGGGTTGGGTTTAGGGGCATGAGGAGTATACCTTAAATCTAGGCGTCCTTTAAGGGAACCTTTAACGCCTCTTTAAAGGGATCTATAAGGAATGTCCCAAACAAATCATATGAGGGATCCTATCATAAGTTCAGGCATCTTCCTTTTATAGGGGGTTTTGGAGTCTCTGGGCTTTAGGCTTCCTTCAAAGGATGGAAAAGGGCTCCACCAAGGGATCTTGAGGGTGCTATTGAGGGCTGAGTTCGGTTTTTGGGATTTAAGGGTTGAGGGTTTAGGGCTTCAGGGTTTAGAGTGTGAGGGTTTGGTTGTTGTGGGCCTTAAGTTCGAAGAAAGCAAGCCACAAGTTTCCATCTATAGTAGGAATTGCTACTATGGTTTGGGTAATTGTCCGCCATATAGTATGCCATGTAGGTACTTAGGACCCTTTGGGAAGGGTCGGGCGATCCCACGAGCACTTCTCAGCAGTTTTTGGGTGCTGAAGACACACATGTATGAGAGCGTGAAATTCCTTGACCCCGGAACCTTAAGCCATAAACCTTAAAACCTAAGACCTAAGCCTTCAAGCAAACTTCCTCAACCCAAAACCCTTTGAGCCCAACGGTGAGGCTGCGGGCTCCGCATGCCGTGGAGGTGGAGAAGCGACTGCGTGAGAAAGCCGAGCCTTGGGAAGACATCCGAAAGGCGGGGCTTCAGGGGTTTAGGGCTTTTGGGGTTTAGGGTTTTTGGGATTTAGGGTTTAGGTAGGGCTTGAGGGCTTTAGGGTTTTTAGGGTTTTGGGGTTTAGGGTTTTGGGGTTTGGGTTTTAGGGTTTAGGGCCAGAGTTTAGGGCTTTTGGGGTTTAGGGTTCAGGGCTTTTGGGGTTTAGGGTTTAGGGTTTTTTGTGGGTTTAGAGTTAGGTAGGGCTTCAAAGGTCCCTAGATTACTATGTAACCTCGTAATTTTCCAACAGTGACATAGTCATGGGCATGTCCCCCAAAATTCAATATTTCTGAATGCAGCAGCGTCAGGAACCTCAACTGGTAGTTGCCATAGCCACTTTGTCCATAAGCACCTGACAGTAACACACGGTTGAGCCTACTTCCACAAGTTTCTTGTATCACTGGCATCAGTTGTGATCCCGCTAGCGCATGATTAGCACAACGATGGGGTGTCAGACCAGTTGCTACATGGACATGTCGCTGCGACGATGCATCAGTGCACCTTACTTAGGCTGCGGTATGAACAGGCTCTGACAAGCGGACCTTACCCTCAACCCTAAACTCCTAAACCTAAACCACACAGCAACCACAAAAAAATGCACCCCCAAACGTAAGACTGAGCCTGTTTTCTTTCAAACTTTCGAGTTCACCGCGAACTTGGGTTCCACGGTTTTCACTGAATGGGAGAGCGACATCAGGTGAGGGCCTGCGTTCAAACCATTGCTTTTGTTTCAGGATGTTAATGCAAACCTGCAAGAACTCTGCCTAGGTCCTACAAGTCCTAGGCCACTCTAACCTGACTTTCGGCCGACCCTCTATAACATTATAGCACTTTTCTAGGTAGGCCTTTGGGACATTTTTGATTTTCCCTTCTTGGGCTTAATAGGACCCCATTTACGAATATGTTTTAGAAGCTTCAAAGGGCCAACCTAGTCTTTGTCTCTAGAAATTCCTGCGATCCATGCTCGAGTTCTACTGGAACTCACACGGAGCCTCTAGAATCTTTCATCGATTCTTTCTGAACCCTGATAGAAACCCCATGGAACCCTGACAGATCCCTCATTGATTTCTCTTAGAAGCCTTCTAAGAACCCTCTTAGAACCCTTTTTAAGCTTTCTGTGGTATCTGATGCTAGAAACCCTTGCATAACCTAAGCTGCAAGCCCTACGAAGTTTAGGGTGTAAGGGTTTGGGGTTAGCCCTATAGATCCCTTATACCAGAAGCCAGAAAGTTGGAACATCGGTATGCTCGTGGCCTTGAGGTAAAAGTATCGGGGATCGCAGCAATATTCATCTTAAATCTATGTTCCAGCTTTCTGATGGGGCTATATAGAACCCCTGATTACGGACATCTAACATAACCCCTTATGGATCCCTTGTAGAACCCTCCCTAAACCCTTATAGAACCCCTTATGGATCCCTCGTAGAGCCCTGTGGAAGCAGGCCAAGCCTCCCTGCAGCTGTCGCGACGTCTTCTGCCGCAAGGCCCCGGCTTGGCGTACCACGGACTGGGTTCTTGTTTTAATTTGTTTCAGTTTAGTAAACTATGACCTAGAGTTCGATAATACAGTTGAATTCAAGTCTGTATTTATGGCTTCAGGTATTTTTGTGTGGAAGCTCTCTTTGTTCCTCACAAATTCGTGTTATGGTATCTTCAGTTCATGTCCCTTTGGCAAGAGCCCAAAAGTTCAACGGATCCAGGGGGATGATAGGGTTTAGGATCTTTAGCTTAGGACTTTGGGTTCTGAGTTTACTGTGTCGACTTTGGGCTTTTGAGTTTTCCAAGTTTGGTTTTTGAAAAACCATAGGTTTATTGAAAAAACGTTTCCAATTTCGGGTTTGTTTTATGGTTTAGGATTTGGACTTTACAGTTGAGGGTTTAGGGTTTCCACACCCTGAGGTCCGTGAATACCAAGAGCCGCGTCGGTGCTTGGATGTCATTAGTACTGACTGATGCACAAACGTGCTCAAGAGTCATACGAGTGTATATACTGGGATCTCAACAGCAAGCGAATGGTGTTGCGTTTCCTACACCCTACAGTAAACCCTAAACCCGAAACCGTCTGGATTGTGCCTTGAACTGTCCACCCTGGCTGCCAAGCTTGGAGGACTTGCCAGTCGATGGAGAGACGTCCACTCCTTGGCATGTCAGATGTTGTTCAACTGGCCTCCATTAACTTGTCTAAACCCTGATCCCCGCTTGAAGTGGCTTTAGTATGGCTTCAGGGCCACTAAGCTTTCTTGAGCAAAGAGGCTGGCCATCGCAAACCAGAAACCCTAAATGACTTAAATCCTATCCCCCCAGCTGAGTCTGGTCATTGGCACCGTCTACACCTTCCGACTTCGTGTCTATGACGGCTTTCGGTGGTCACCTTGGACGGAGCATTGTCCGGCGGTGCAGGTGCCTTGGCTGTCCGCTTTGTTGATGTTTAAAGAGGCTTATAGAAGTCTCAAGGCCGCAGGGGTTTGGTAGGGTTGAGGATTCAGGTTTTCCTAGAGAGCGCAATACCCCTTACTTAAGGAATAGACCTTAAATCAGAATATGAACCCCTTCATTATTTTAGCTATATTCCTTAATTAAGGGGTATTGGGCTCTCTGGGTTCATATTCTGATTTAAGGTATATTCCTTAATTAAGGGGTAGTGGGCTCTCTGGCTTGGGGTCTCGGATGAGGGCCTGGTCTTGCTTGGAGGGTCGGGGGACTTAGTAACTGGTTATTTTAGGGACTTATAAGTACCATAACCCCACTTAGGGTCCCTTTTAAGGTACTTATTAGTCTACTTACTATCTACTTACTAAATCCTTAAACCCCTTAAACCCTCTAGTACCCCTATAGAGCCCTTTAAAGGAGCCCTTAGAATCCCCTTTAAATACGAGCCCCTACTTACTAAGTCCCCCGACCCTCCAAGTAGGGACCCAAAAACCCTAAACTCTAAACCCTGAACCCTAAACCCTAAATCCCTAAACCCCTGAACCCCTAAACCCTAAACCCTTATAGGATCCCTTTAAAGGAACCCTAAACCCTAAACCCTATAGCACCCTTATAGAGCCCTTTAAAGGAACCCTTATAATCCCCTTTAAGGGACACTGTCCCCCGACCCTCCAAGTGGTTTCTTGCTGACAGGTGCTGAGGCCGCTACTGAAGGCAGCGGAGCTGCACTTCCCAGGGCCTCCAAAACCCCTGAATTAAGGAATATCCCTTAAACCTAGGGTTCCTTAAAGGGTTCCTTAAAGGGATCTATAAAGGGATCTATAAGGAATATACCTTAAATCATAGTAGGATCCCTAATATGATTTAAGGTATATTCCTGAATTAAGGGGTTTTGGAGCCTCTGGGTTCACTTAGGGACCCAAAAAGCACAGAAGCATAAGCACTTTGCAGGGATATTCCTACCTTATTGGGCTTCATTGTAAGAGGATTTATTTGGGATATCCCTATCCTATTTGTTGCTTTTGTGCTTGTCTGGGTCCCTGTTCACCTGTGGCCCGCGCAGATGAGTACAGCTAGCATGTCCCTGCAGTCCATTCACCCAAAGGGTCCAAAGTACCTATATAGTAGAATTTAGGATTTAGGTATTAGGCATTACCATAGTATGATGTGGTGAAGTAAGTATCCCCCATAACAGTACCTAGGACCCTTTGGGTATTTAAGCATGTAAAACCTGCAGCTTACGGCTGTATTCACAGCTGATCCTGTGACAGGACAGCCTTCCCGCTACGCCTACGGCGGGCCTGGCGGGTGAGGACATGATCGCTTTTACGTTTGTAGCCTGCGCCAACTTGTATCTGTCTCAATTACTAATCAACACTCTGACTTCAGCTGATCTCCGCAAGCTCAGTACACATGCCCGATCGTTGCTGTCGCAGGACTCTCAGTTGGAAGGAAGGAATGGGTTGGATGGCAGGCATCCGATTGCAGTTTGCCGAAAGGTCTGAGAGTATCTGCTGTCCCTAGTAATTAGTTAGGCAACAACAACCACCTATCCGGCCCTGAACCCTAAACAGCCCAACCCTAAGCCCCGAAGACGACAGTTGGGCATGAACCCTATAGAACCCTTACCCCCTGTCACAGACCCCTGATGGATCCTACTGCTAGTGACCTACCCCAAGACCCGAAGCCCCTAAAGCATGAAACCCCTTAGGGTTTAGGGCTTTTAGGGTTTGGGATTTACTAAGCCTGCGCGGAGAAAAGCCGGCAAACCCCATATGAAGAAGCCCTAAATCCTTAAATGCGCTTCAAAGGCCTAAGCTCCAAACACCTAAGCCAACAAGAACCTTCTCATTCTCAGCCCAAACTTGAACCCTGAGCCCTAAAACTCTGCCGAACCCTCATCCCCCAAGTTCACAAACAGCGCTCTCCACTCATCGAAAGCCCGCTAGGTTCCCCATGGTTCCCCAGTACTTACCATAATACATAGGCATGTACTGCAAATAGCATGGCTTTCTTATAATGGCAACTTAAACTAAGTCCCTTAACAAGAACCCATGTTAGGGTTTACCTGGACCCTTCTAGCGCTCCCTACCCCCAAGAGTCCAAGGACCCAATAATTAGGCACTCGGTTTTAGGATAGTAGTTATGTAGGTTAGGATTTTTTGTTGAGTGTGTGATTATTAGCACTTGGACCATTGGGTAATTACTTACAAGTAGTTATGTAGGTTAGGATTTTTGTTGAGTGTGTGATTATTAGCACTTGGACCATTGGGTAATTACTTACATAACTAAGACCCAAAACCCTAAACCCTGAAAAACGAACCCAAAACCTAACCCGTAAAAACGAACCCATAACCCTAAACCCTTACAAACAAACCCATAACCCTAAACTCTGGAAAAACGAACCCAAAACCTAACCCGTAAAAACGAACCCATAACCCTAAACCCTTACAAACGAACCCATAACCCTAAACTCTGGAAAAACGAACCCAAAACCTAACCCGTAAAAACGAACCCATAACCCTAAACCCTTACAAACGAACCCATAACCCTAAACCTTAAAATGAGAGCCCAAAAGCCTTGAACCCTTAAAAAAACGAACCCATAACCCTAAACCTTAAAATAACAGCCCAAAAGCCCTGAACCCTTAAAAAACGAACCCATAACCCTAAACCTTAAAATAACAGCCCAAAAGCCCTGAACCCTTAAAAAACGAACCCATAACCCTAAACCTTAAAATAAGAGCCCAAAAGCCCTGAACCCCTTAACAAAAACGAGCCCAAAGCCCTAAACCTTAAAATAACAGCCCAAAAGCCCGGAACCCCTTAAAAAAACGAACCCCAAAGCCCTAAATCTCCCAAAAGCCTCTTTGCCTAGGACCCAGAGTAGGCCCTTATTCCCTTTTTGAGGCTTTCGGTTCCCTTATAAACCCCCTTTAAACCAAGGGTTCGTTTTGGAACCCTATATCCCTAAACCCTTAAACCCAGGACTCAGAGTAGGCCCTTATTCCCTTTTTTCTTACCTTTGGTTAGTAGGGAATGGAAGAATGGTGGTAATAGTAGTTACAGTTGTGCCCCATTCCTCCATTCCCTACTAACCAAAGGTAAGTTTTGAGGGTTTCGGTTCCCTTATAACCCCCTTTAAACCAAAAAGGGCACCCTTTTTATTCCTAGGTTACTCTTAGGTCTAGCTTTGCTGTTGGCAAGTGCAGGTTCCAAACAGAGATGGGCGAGGGCCTCAGGCCCTGATACTTGGAGGATCATGGGACTTAGGGTTCCTTAAGGGGTTCTTTTGAGGGGCTCCTTTTAAAGGGGTTCTATAAGGGATCTGTAGGGGTTTAGGGTTTAGGGTCTACTTGGGAGGATCATGGGACTTAGTAACTAGGGTTGTAAATAAGGGAACTGTACTTATAACTCCAATTAGGGTACTTATAACCTTACTAAGTCCCATGATCCTCCAAGTAAGCAAAGGAAGCTGCTTCCTTGAAAGGGCTTTCGGTTTAGGGTTTAGGGTTCCTTTGAGGATTCCTTGAAGGGTTCCTTTAAGGGATCCTATGAAGGCTTCCCGTAATGGCTGCTTTAGGGGCTGAGGGGTTTAGGGTTTTAGGGTTTAGGGTTTAGGGTTTAGGGTTTAGGGTTTAGGGTTTAGGGTGGGGTGTCGGGTTCAGGAAGGTGTTTACATGTAGGGTTTAGATACTCAAAGGATGCTGGTTCCTTGAAGCCCTTCAAGGGCTCCTTTAATGGGTTTGGGGTCCCTTTAAAGGCTTCCTTCAAGGGTTCTTTGAAGGGTTTGGGCGTGGGGGTGTGTCTGGTTTAGAGGGGGGTTTTAGAGTTTAGGGCTTAGGGTGTATGCATGTCAAGGGTTCAGGGGGGTTTACTGTGCAGGGGGTTTGCTTATGGCTCCAATTAGGGTACTTATAACCTTACTTACTAAGTCCCATGATCCTCCTAGTACAGTTTGGGTGTAGGGGGGTTTAGGGTTTAGGGGGATTTTAGGGTCGAGGGCGGTTTAGAATTTAGCAAGAGTTCAAGATGCTCCGAAACATGCCAAAAGCGTCTTCAACTAGTAAAGGCCCCTAAAATTAAAAAGGAACATGGACTTAGTAAGTAAGGTTATAAGTACCCTAATTGGAGTTATAAGTATAGTTACCTTATTTATAACCCTAGTTACTAAGTCCCATGATCCTCCCAAGTAGACCCTAAACCCTAAACCCCTACAGATCCCTTATAGAACCCCTTTAAAAGGAGCCCCTCAAAAGAACCCCTTTAAGGAACCCTAAGTCCCATGATCCTCCCAAGTAGACCCTAAACCCTAAACCTCAGGCCCTGCAGGCCCCTTGTAGTAGTCTCGCCCCACAACCGGCGGGAAATCTCTCACCAGGATTCCGCCCGGCCGGCATTGCGAAGTCACAGACGGCAATGGAAACTTGCATTGTGGGTTTCCTATACTAGGATTCTGTTTCGGGTCCTGAACATACCAGCCAATGACGTGTTCTTTTGGGCGCAAGCGGCCCGAAATATGAAAAGCCAAACCCGAAACCTTTTCTCAACCCTAAACTAACTTCTAGAGCCACCCTTACAGAAACCCTGAAACCCTGGGCATCAAAATAGCCCAAAAGCCTTATATAGTATGGTCTTTGGGCCCAAAAGCCTCAATATATGAGTGCTTAGATGCCTAGGGAAAGGATCCCTTATAGTAAATCTCTAAAGGAAGCCTTAAGTTCCGAGGTCCTTTAAGTAGACCTTAAACCCTAAACCCCATTATAGGTCCCGTGGAGATTCCTTTAAGGAACCCTTTAAGGAACCCTTGGAGGAGCCCTAAGTCTTGCGGTTGCTAAGTCCCACGACCCTGTATGGTAGAAGCCAGAAAGTTGGAACATGGATTTAGGAGGATCAGTGCTCAGACCCCTTATACTTTACCTTATAGGGGCATGAGGATAATGATGTTCCAACTTGCTGGCTTCTACTTTAAGTGCCCCATCGCCAAGGCCTCGAAGTCGAAGCACGCTTTGGCAGTCTCCTCTTCAAGGGCCAGGCATTGGGGTTTTTATTCCCTGGGGTTCGTTAAGGGATCCTTTATGGGATCTATACTGTAAGGGTAGGGTTTAGGGGGTTAGGGGTGTAGGCTTTAGGGGTTTAGGGTTTGGGGTTTTAGGGTATTAGGGTTAGGATTTAGAGCTCCGCAGCGTCCCTTTCTGCAGGGTTTGGGGCCTTGGGTTTTCAGCCGACCTTCGTATGGTACCTTCATCAGGGTACTACTGTAAGGATATGCCACTGGGTTGAGGATTTAGGGCTTACTTGTTAGGGTTTAGGGTTAGGGTTTAGGGCCCCGCATAAGGATAGCATGAGGATACGCTGCTGGTACTATAGGGGCTACGATAGGGGCACGATCAGGGAAATGTGAGGCATTATGGTGGTACTACAAGCCTTTGGCGTAAGCTGTCAGCCGACTTCCGTATAGCACCCCTGTAAGGCTGCTATACAGTTACTGTAAGGTTACTGTAAGGGTATCATAAGAGCATTATAGAGTCATTATAGAGGTACTATGAGTGCACTTGGGGTGTAACCTTTCATTAGGGCTCAGAGTTTTAGGGGTTGAGGGGCTTTAGGGCTTAGGGTCTTATTTCCGCCGCAGTTATCTCGGTCGTTCTTGCCGGGTTGTCTTGTTCGTATTTCCATTCCATCATTGGCTCCTCTCTGAGAGGTAGAATGAGAAAGGCACAGCATCGGCGACTACGGCCATAAACCCTAAACCGTACGCCCTGAGCCCCAAGCCCTGCATAGGCCCTAAGCCCTGAACCCTCAAAGCCCAAAACTTTGCCTAAACCCTAAACCCTAAATAAGCCCTAAACCGTACCGCCTAAATCCGAAGCCCTAAATCCCTAAACCCCTAGACCCCTAAAGCCCTAAAACCCTAAACCCGGAACCGGTGAGTCTCAAGTCGCTTCAGGGGGCGATTCCCGCCGGCTCGCCCGAGAAGGTCGTCCTTGAGGCCTGGCACAACTGAAGCCGCGCCCTTCCCAGATCCTCCAAAACCCCTTAAAAACCTAGGGTTCCTTAGAGGGTTCCTTAGAGGGATCCATAAGGAATATACCTTAAATCATATTAGGGATCCTACTATACTTTAAGGTATATTCGTTAATTAATTGGTTTTGGAGGCTCTGGGTTTGTCAATGTAAGTTATCATAGTGAGGCTTTTTTTGAGGGATCCTTTAAGGGTTCTGTAAGGGTTACGTGGTTAATGGATTCAATTTTATCGATCCCTTTCAGTGTTTAGGGCTCGGGGCTCTAGGGGCGTTTAGGTTTTTAGGGACTAGAGCTAAGTTTAGGTGTTTATGGTTTGGGGGTTTAGGTTCTAGGTTTTGACGGCTTTGGCAGTTACGCCCTTCCATTCTGGTGTGAAACTGCTGATGGACAAAATCCTGCATGACCTAAGGACTCTAAACTATGGGAATTATGGTATCTTTTGTGTGCGGCCCCGCCTCACTAATAGTGGGCAGAAACAGAAGCACAAGATGAAGCACCAGGGAAATGCTGAAATGTTGACTCGTTTGTGATCATGCTCGCATGAATGGAAAACGCAAGACTGAGACAACAAGTAAACTGCCACCCCATGAGTTGCAAACACAATCACACCCCTGTTGTTTTCTCGGATTCGATCTTGAGCAAACATCAGGAGCTGCAATGCCTCTGCGCGACTAGGGGGGGCGGGGCGGGGGGGCTGGGGGTGCTGGGGGGGGCTGAGGGGGCTGGGCTGGAAAGCTGAACGGACGGGGGGGTGGGGGGCGGGCTGAGGCCGGGCCGGGGTCTGGCCTCTTCGACCAAGTTTAGTACTGAGAGGCGTACCCGGGCGCGACATTTCGATCACAGAAACCTCTTTTCTGTTGTGCTTTTCTTGTGCTCGAAACGATCCGATTGTGCTTTTTTTTTGTGCTTTTCTTGTGCTCCAAAAACCAAACGTGTTTGTATGTTTGTGCTTTTTTTTGTGCTTTTCTTGTGCTCGAAACGCTCCGGCTGTTGTGCTTTTCTTGTGCTCGAAACGCTCCGATTGTGTTTTTTTTGTGCTTTTCTTGTGCTCCAAAAACCAAACGTGTTTGTATGTTTGTGCTTTTTTTTTTGTGCTTTTCTTGTGCTCGAAACGCTCCGGCTGTTGTGCTTTTCTTGTGCTCGAAACGCTCCGATTGTGCTTTTTTTTTGTGCTTTTCTTGTGCTCCAAAAACCAAACGTGTTTGTATGTTTGTGCTTTTTTTTTGTGCTTTTCTTGTGCTCGAAACGCTCCGGCTGTTGTGCTTTTCTTGTGCTCGAAACGATCCGATTGTGCTTTTTTTTTGTGCTTTTCTTGTGCTCCAAAAACCAAACGTGTTTGTATGTTTGTGCTTTTTTTTTGTGCTTTTCTTGTGCTCGAAACGCTCCGGCTGTTGTGCTTTTCTTGTGCTCGAAACGATCCGATTGTGCTTTTTTTTTGTGCTTTTCTTGTGCTCCAAAAACCAAACGTGTTTGTATGTTTGTGCTTTTTTTTTGTGCTCCATGATTTCAAAACACATTGGCGCGCGGCAGTTCTGGTGCAAAATTGTCTCTGTCTGTTGTGCTTTTCTTGTGCTCGACGCGGTCCGATTGTGCTTTTTTTTTGTGCTTTTCTGGTGCTAGTTTTGCTCTGTCTCTCTGGCGGCCGGGCCAGTCCAGTCCCCGCGTCCAGGCCGTCTGAAAGAAGGTCTCCGGGCCCAGGTTGCGATGGTAACGAAACCGTGGTTCCAAACCTCTTCGCTGGTAAGTTGCAGATAGCTCCTCCCAACCTCTTCGCCGGTCCGACCCCATCTCACAGCCCTAATCGCCAAACTATGCCAAACATATTTGGATTCAAAACACTGCCTGGCCCTGGAAAACCGAATGAGATCAGATTTCCTTGTGCTACTTTTGGCCTGTCTGTTTGATAATAAACCTATTTTTGAACTATTAGTGGGCCGGGGCCCCATCTAAGGTATCTTCCTTATAATGGGTAATGCAGGATTTTGTCCATCAGCTGAATCAACGGCTTTTTCAGGCTGGGGCAGTCAGCTTCGTCGACGAGCATCGGAATCTCCCGAAGGCGCGCGAGGAAAGGACGGTTGCCTAGTAGTCGAGTAGGTAACCTTTAACCTTTTTTGGGTGGTATAGTCCCTATATAATCCCTATATAACCAGAAAGGTTAACCTTTAGTTCCCCATGATACCCGACAAGTAGGGAGTTGAACGAATCGCATATTTAGGCACCAATGCTTCAGCTGACCTAGCCCTGAACCAGCAAAACCCTGGTTTAAACCAGAAACCCTGAAGCCTAAAACCGTAAACCCTAAACTCCTAGAAATCCTGAAACCCCGATGCTTTTGTAAACTCTTCGGCAGGCCACACCTCTCTTGACGAACCCTGGCGGTGACCCATGGCCGTAGAGGCCTCAGGCGTTGTCCCACCAGTGAAAGCCGCCCATCTTAAGACCCTACACCCTAAGCCCCTAGACCCTAAACCCCTAAACTCTAAACCCCTAAACCCTGCACCCTAAGCCCTAAACCCTAATTCCAAGCTCTAAACCCAGGGTTTAGCGTTCACACCACCAAGAGCTGCAGAGCTAGTGAGCCTTCCGAGAGAAACTTCAAAGAGTTGAGGGTTTAGGCTTCAGGGTGCAAGGTTTAGGGTTTTGTTTTGATACAAAACCCTGCACACTGAATACCCAAAAGGAAAGGAGAGAGTTTCAGAACAAAGCGGCACCCCGCACACTGACTCAGGACCCAACATAATTAAATTGCAGAAGAGTTCTAAAAAAGCTCGCGGCAACCTCCTTCAGACACGCCATGCTCTGCAACTCTAAGAATTGGTGCCGAGCCGAAGAAGTTCATCATGAGGACAAAGGCTCGAACCGTCGGGTGCTCAGCTTTCCAGGCTCAGGAGTCTAGGGCTCGGGGCTGTATTGTATGTCTACTATTTGCTTAAGAACCACCAAAAAGTAAAACATATATTCCTTATGGGGGTAATATAGGGGTTATTATTTTTTATTTTTTGGGTGTTTCTTAAGCAAATAGTAGATGTCTTACCCAGAGGCCCCAAAGTAGTTCTTTTTTGTGATTACCTCATAAGGTTCTAAATATGAACCCCAAAAACGAATTACTTTGGGGCCTTAGGGTAGGGATGCGGGGTTTAGCGCCGATTTAGGCTTATTTGTAGAATTTGGGCGGTTTCTCGATGTTTCTAGCGGGGATTTTGAGTTGACGAGTTGACGGCAACCGAAGGGCAGGACCTTTTCTGGGCTTTGGAGCACCATGCTTTATAGGGAACTCCAGAAAGTTGGAATATGGTTTCATGGTAGGATACCCTATAATTTACCATAGAAGGGTTAGGATAATCATATTCCAACTTTCTGGCTGTTACCTTAATACTTTTTCTTAAAGGAACCAGCATGAAGTAAAAGTGAAGACTTTTTTCTCCCTGGCTACGTAAAAGCCAAGGTTTTGTGTACAACCCTATACTAGTCTGGGGTTCCGTATTCAGATTGTAGTGTCATGGGCCCCGAAACCCTAGTCTAATTATTAAGGCCCCTATATTACAGCAAGGCTTGACTCGATGCCTCCAGCAGGATCGACCTGGAAGCCTCAAACCCTAAACCCCAGCCTCTTCCGTTTACTGTCAAACCCTTGCCTTAAACCCGAATCCCTGAATCCCAAACCCTAAGCCCTGAAGCCTAAACCCTAAACCCACCTACCAGAACGTTCTAGAGGCACCCCAAGTGCCTCAAACTGTACACCACAGAAGCCCAGGTCGTAACCGGTTTAGGGTCTTGGGCTTTGGGGTTTGAGCCTTAGGGTTTAAGGCTTTGGGTTTAGGGCTTCGGGTTTAGGGTTTAGGGCGTAGGGTTTAGGAGAAGCCTCCAGAAACCCCAGGTCTATGCAGATCGCTTGCCCGACAGCGTGAGCCACGACAACGACATCGACCTATCCCTGCCGCCGTCATTCCCCGAGGCTCCATCTTTAGGGTTTCGGGTTTTCTGTCCATTAGGGGGGCTGTCGGCACCAGGGCGCAGTTAGTTAGTTTGCTTCGGATTTAAGGGCTTTAAGATAAGAACATATACAGTAGAACCCGAAAGTAGGAACATTATCCCTATGCGCTTAAGTTAGAGTATAAGGGGATCCTAGCACTAATCCTCCTGAAGCCATGTTCCAACTTTCTGGGGTTCACCATAAGGATTGAAATTGGTCGGTATTTGGCAGCCCTCTTCTTGCCTTCTGCAGACGAGTGAAAGTCTCATATAAGTCTTGGGGTTCAGCAAACAGGCCCAAAAACACCAAATCCTAACCCTATAGTCTAATAATATAGTACGCCCTCAAAGCCTTATTCTAATTATTAAGGCCCCCTAGATTAAGAGATTTAGCAATGAACTGTTTAAGGTTGAGGGTTTAGGGCCATCCAGACAGCTGGGCCTCATCCAAAAGCCTTGCAATTGGGCCCTTGAAGCCTTGTTTGGCAAGCTCGGCTTCCACCAAAATATGGGTGGGGAAAAAAGTTTGTCTTTATAGGGCCCACCAAAACAAGAAAAAACAGATTTCGAGTTTTCAGTACGAATCTTCAGTTTATTCTTTATAGGTGAAATCTTGTCTCCGGCATTTTAGCATAATAACTTATCAAGCCGGTGGCGGTTCTGCCAAAAGCTTAAACCCCGGAGGCCTTCCCTCCTAAGGCCCTAAACCTTACTGTCCATTGAGTTGTGCCATTTCGAGTCGTGGCCACTTCGTGACAGGACCGGCCGCACAATGATGACTTCAGAGAGGCTGTTCCGATCGTTTAAGGATTTAGCGTCGTTGGGATCTCGGGTTTAGAGGTAGGAGTTAGGGTTGGTTGGGATTTCGGGTTTTGACAACGAGCGTTGTGTCCATGATGCTCGTTTTGAGCCGTTCCCCGAGACTCCCGTGCTTGCAAGCCTACTCAACTCAACCTCAGAGCAGAGGTGTTTGCGGGGTGGCTTGGATTTAGAGTTGAGGGCTAAGTTCAGGGGTAATTCTCGTACGAAGCAACGGAAACCTGTGTGACTACGTCCACAACAAGCCCAAAGCCCTAAAGCCTACGCTCTAGACCCTAAACCCCTAAACCCAACACCTAAACCCTAAACCCCTAAACCACCCCTAAACCCAACACCTAAACCCTAAACCCCTAAACCCCTAAACCCTAAACCCTACACCCCTAAACCCAACACCTAAACCCTAAACCCTAAACCCCTAAACCCTTAAACCCTAAACCCTACACCCCTAAACCCAACACCTAAACCCTAAACCCCTAAACCCCTAAACCCCTAAACCCTAAACCCTACACCCCTAAACCCAACACCTAAACCCTAAACCCTAAACCCCTAAAGCCCTAAACCCTAAACCCTACACCCCTAAACCCAACACCTAAACCCTAGACCCTAAACCCCTAAACCCCTAAACCCCTAAACCCTACACCCCACCCCTAAACCCAACACCTAAACCCTAAACCCTAAACCCCTAAACCCCTAAACCCTACACCCCTAAACCCCTAAACCCAACACCTAAACCCTAAACCCCTAAACCCTACACCCCTACACCCCTAAACCCAACACCTAAACCCTAAACCCTAAACCCCTAAACCCCTATAAACCCCAAGCCCTACACCCCGAAACCCAACACCTAAACCCTAAACCCCTAAACCCTACACCCCTAAACCCCTAAACCCAACACCTAAACCCTAAACCCCTAAACCCCTATAAACCCCAAACCCTACACCCCTAAACCCAACACCTAAACCCTAAACCCTAAACCCCTAAACCCCTAAACCCTACACCCCTAAACCCCTAAACCCAACACCTAAACCCTAAACCCTAAACCCCTAAAACCCTACACCCCTAAACCCAACACCTAAACCCTACACCCTAAACCCCTAAACCCTTAAACCCAAACCCTACACCCCTAAACACCCAACACCATGAAGGATCCCCTGGACCGGAAATGGCGCTGAGGCGCGGGAAGGTGCTTGCACACTTTCCCAAGGAGCCCCATACTTGGAAGGGCAGGGGACTTAGTAAGTAGGTTATAAGTAGGGTTATAATTGGGGTAACTCTACTTAGGGTACTTATAACTCTACTTATAACCTACTTACTAAGTCCCCTGCCCTTCCAAGTATACCCGCCATACCCCTCAACTAAGGAATACCTGGACCCCACATAACCTCCCTTTTTTGCGCATCCGTATTTTGGGAATCCTTATAGGGAGCCCTTAATCGGAACGATTTGATAGGGTCCCGGTATACTTTAGTTTATTGAGGCCTCAAGGTTGTTGTTTAGGTTCAGGGTTTCGAGTTGCCAAACATCTGCACAGTGCACACTCCGCTGACATCTGCAGCTAGTTCTGCTCAAGTTTGACTGCCGGGCGCTTCAGAAATGCACCTTCGTGCCCTGGAAGCAGGCTTACCGTTGGTTAGTAGGGAATGGAGGAATGGGGTATAATTATAACTACGATTACTACCATTCTTCCATTCCCTACTAACCAACGGTAAGCAGGCAGTCACTCTGCGATTTCTTTTCCGGCACGTTGCTGTCAGCTCGCAGCACCATGCAAGTCGCGACTCCACTGCGACTTTACTACTGCTACTGCCACTACTACGTCTACTACGGCGAGCAGTACGAGTGAGAACAGTAGTAAGCTCACTGATTGATCATAACCATAATGTTGTTATTCATACTTTCATTAATGGCAAGATTTCCGCCAAGGCTGAAATGGGCGACAAGGCGAAGTTCATCCTATGGGTTCTCCTCCTCTGTTGCGGCAGCGCCTTCCTCGCAAGCCAGTGTGCAGCGTCACCGTAGAGTACGCCTAAGGTTCTGCGTTTAGGGTTAGGGCATCGTAGAATGCCCCAAGTGTTCACGGTTTAGGGTAAGTTAGGGCTTAGGAAGTTTAGGTTTAGGGTTTAGGGTTCAAGGTGCGGGCCTGGGATTCTGTGAAGAGCACTGTAACGGATACTACGAAGTAAATGCTGGTCGAACATGCATGGTAGCAGCCCCAGAGAAGATGTTGATGCCGGGATCCAGGAAATTTCGAGCCACCTGAATGACGGAATATCCCGCTTTTAGTGGGGCATTAAGTGGCGATTAGCTTATGTTCCCCTCAACCTACAACATTTCCTAAAAAGAGTTCCCTCAGGGTTCCCAGAAGGGTCATTGGCCTCTGTGGGTCCAAAAGGTGCGCATGCCTTCAACCTGACGTTTGATGATGAGGGGATGCTGAACCCCGCTTGCTGGCTGAACTGGGAGGCGGGCAGTGGTAGTAGTAGTAGTAGTAGTAGTAGTAGTAGTAGTAGTAGTAGTCGTAGTAGTAGTAGTAGTAGTACTACCACTACCACTACCACTACCACTACCGCTACCACTACCACTACCACTACCACTACCACTACCACTACCACTACCACTACCACTACCACTACCACTACCACTACCACTACCACTACCACTACTGCTACTGCTACTGCTACTGCTACTGCTACTGCTACTGCTACTGCTACTGCTACTACTCCTACTCCTACTCCTACTCCTACTTCTACTCCTACTGCTACTACTACTACTACTACTACTACTACTACTACTACTACTACTACTACTACTACTACTTCCTAGGTTACTTGCTATAACCGGGTTGGTTTCAACATGTACACTCGTTCCATTATTCCCTGATAACCCATGCTGCAAGTATATGAGAAGTTACCTCAAGACGCATGACCCATCACCTCAAAATGTTATTCTAATTATTCAGGCACCTACATGACCCAAGCAGCGTTTTGGTGTGGCATTGTAATCGCATCTCATACTGGTCTTTCGCGACCAGATCTCGACACGCAGCATGCACAGCCAGGATGCACGACCCAGCCCTAAGCTTCCACGAGGATGTTGCGGACGGAAAAAGGAGTCAGGAGCTTAAAACAAAACATCCGTGGATCAAATTACAGCCCAAATGTCCTTGCGCAGGTGGTCTTCAGTGAAGACAGTCCGGCCGACGATGCCTGCTCGGTGTCGATGGAAGATCAGTCGATGACGGTGGCTTTTGCTGAATTTCGTGGAAGTCCGTTAGGGGGTTTGGGTTTAGGGGCGTGGAGAGAAGTCCTTGTAGTAGGGTGGATAAGCTTTAACTTGTTTGCGGATACTATGATCCGATATAATCTCGAAGGATACCTCTTGGTTCCCCTAGGATACTGGACAAGGAAGTAGGTATTAGCTAGTAGGAGCTGGTTCTCGAGTCTGCGCTTGTCTTGCGGGTTTAGGTTATGATTTAGACGGTAGTTTCCAAAAATCGCGGGAACCTTAAATTGGGGGTCCTTACAATAAGGATCCTACGAATTAGGGTACTATATTAGGGTCCCCTATTTTCGGAAACTCTCATATGTGCCTTGCGGGCTCCCGGCACAGCTCAAAAAGTGCCCCCCAAAGCAGGTGATGATGATCAAAGTGCTGAGACTCGGCTGCAGTCAGCTGCTGCCTTGGGTGATCCTCCAAAACCCCTCAATTAAGGAATATACCCTTCAAGGGTTCCTTAACGGGATCCTTAAATGGCTCTATAAGGGGATTCAGGAATATACCGTAAGTGATGAGGGATCGTTGCCTTCACTAGGATGCCCAGCAGTACCCTTATGCACTTTCTGTAGTCCTAGGTTCCTTATAAAGTTACCCAATACCCAAAAAGGGAGCCCTGTTTATTCCTAGGTTACTGGGCATCTTAGTCTACTGCTGGCTTGAAATAGAGGCCTGAATGTGGCTACTAGCGAGGTCTCTACAAAATCAAGGCAGAACACACCCCAGCCCCCCGAAACCCTGAACCCTAAACCCTAAGTATGAAGGGTACGTTAGCCAGCCCTCATGGTCCGAATCTTGCGCTGCTGCTTTGTGACACCCCTAACGGTCCAAAGGACCCAGTGATTAGGTACTCGGTTTAGGGTTTCGGGGTTTAGGGTACTCGGTTTTAGGATAGTAGTTATGTAGGTTAGGCTTTTGGAGAGTACAGGTTATTTGGTACTTGGTCCCCTGTGGGATTGGCGTTTTGTTGTCATGGGAGCAATCTTGAGCTCGAAGAAATGAACCCGGAATCACAGACCCCAAACCCTGAAACATCAACCATAACTCTAAACCCTAAACCCTAAACCCTCAACCGTCCCCAAACCCTGAAACATCAGCCCTAAACTCTAAACCCTAAACCCTCAACCGTCCCCAAACCCTGAAACATCAACCCTAAACTCTAAACCCTAAACCCTCAACCGTCCCCAAACCCTGAAACATCAACCCTAAACTCTAAATCCTCAACCCTAAACCCTCAACCGTCCTCAAACCCTGAAACATCAACCTACCTAAACTCTAAACCCTAAACCCTAAACCCTCAACCGTCCCCGAACCCTGAAACATCAACCTACCTAAACTCGAAACCCTAAACCCTAAACCCTCAACCGTCCCCAAACCCTGAAACATCAACCCTAAACCCTAAACCCTAAACCCTCAACCGTCCCCAAACCCTGAAACATCAACCCTAAACTCTAAATCCTCAACCCTAAACCCTCAACCGTCCCCAAACCCTGAAACATCAACCTACCTAAACTCTAAACCCTAAACCCTAAACCCTCAACCGTCCCCAAACCCTGAAACATCAACCTACCTAAACTCGAAACCCTAAACCCTCAACCGTCCCCAAACCCTGAAGCATCAACCCTAAGCACCGAATCTACACCTGAGCGCCACACCCTGCAAGCGAAGCACTGGTGCCAAGACACGTGGCTGCGTCGTTTACGCGCTCTTCACCTAAACCCTAACTCCTAAACCCTAAACCCTAAACCCTAACCCTAAACCGTCAACCGTCCATGTGCCAAGAAACGTGGCTGTCTTTTACGCGTTCTTCACCTTCTGCGTGAAGGCCCTGCCCGAGCCCCAGGAAGGATCGGAACAAGGTTCGTCTCTTTAGGGTTCCTAGTAGTAGAGCACGTAACCTTAACCTTTTTTGGGTAGTATAGTCCCTATACAATCCTGATATAACCAAAAAGGTTAACCTTTAGTTCCCCATGACATCCGACAAGTAGGGGTTCAGAGTTTAGGGATTACGGGTGTGTGGTTTGCAGTTTAGGGGTTTAGGCTTGTGGGTTTTGAAGTTAGGAGTTTAGGGATGTGGGAGTTTCCGAAAATTAGGGGTACCTTATGTGGGGGTCCTTATAATAAGGATCCTATTATTTAGGGTACTATATTAGGGTCCCCTATTTTCGGAAACTCCCATGTGGGGCTCGGGGCCTCTCTACAGGGCCTATGCTCTTCTTGATTGCAGCTACTACCTATAATTTCTATACCCAAAGGGTCCTATGTACCGATAGTAGAATGTAGGGTTTCCATACGAGGACTTACTAATAATTATTATGGCCTGGGGAAGTATCCCCCATAAGAGTACATAGGACCCTTCGGGATAATAGCTCCTTCTGTAATGTACCCCCCCCCAAAAAAAAACGCCGTTGAGGATTAAGGCCCGCATAGGTGGTTTTCGGATTGTTTGGGTTCGGACCTTCTGCAACGGCGGAGTTCGAGGGTTCTTTAAATGATTTATAGGGCCCGTGCAAACAACCCGGGAATATAGAGAACCCTCAAACACCTAAACCCGTGAGTTTCGATGGCCCCAGGTGCCAGTCTACGCTATGAGGCTGCGAAGCATGCAGTCCAGTTGAGGTAGGAACTTGAGCTTGAGACCTCCGGCGGGTAGTAATGACATGATAGACTACAATGTAGTATAATATAATACAGTATAGTATATCTTCATAAAAACGTGTAAGATATAGTACATGTATAAGGTGTTCTAATATACAATATAAGCTCCAACAACAGCTAGGCTTCTAATGTGATTGGACTGGCAGCAAGTTTTTGTGATTGATCCGGCCCTACGCCATAAACCCTAGACCCTAAACTGGTCCGGCTTTCTCAAGCTTTGCATCGTCTAACGGCGGATGGT